CAGTTTTTTGAATAGGATGGGTAATAGTTTGTCGATGTATACTAGATGCACTGTATATATATATATATATATATATAACATGTATTTACGAAGATAAGAGATTTATGTCGCCAGTAAATAGTTAACATTATCTAAAGTGATTTTTGTCGACCCAACTGGCAGGAAACTTTATTCGTGAATCTTACATCCACGAAGTTTTGACCATCCGGATTGTGGCCGTTATCAAGTGATTGGTAATAGTTAAAATTCTTATTGCGAAAAAATATCACCCCAGTATATATATATGTATAATAACATGTATTTAGTTTAGCGTTTCGACTGATAAAAGACATTCATAGAACTCGTGCGGGGGCACAGAAAACTCGTATCAGCAATAAACTCGAAATAACCTCCACCTCCCCCTGAGGTAAATCCTGATAAAAGACATCGTCAGAATAAATGCGAGGGAATAGAAAACTCGCGTTAGAATTGCGGATTTCGAAAATTTTCACGTTTCGTATACAAACTAAACTTAAACGCAGTTGTATTTGACAATAAAAAGAATCGTGTTCGAACTTTTGGACTCTGGAAGTGCTTTGGGCATCCCGATATAGACATGGACTCTAGTGTCAAAACATGGATAAAGAAAGGAGCTGTTGGGAAGGTTATTGATAAGACGATCTCTAATAAGATCCTTTGGGGTTTTAGATTGGAGTTCTGTAGGCAATATTATAGGGATCATAGAAGATGGCCCATATTAGTCGTTGGGAAAAACACCCCTCCGAAGATCAAAAGGAACTACTTGAACAATTTGTGGGACGAAGTTCCCACCAATCCCTGGAAACCTGAGGACTTCGAGTTCGTCACCCTCTCCAAGAACCTTGACTTTGACTATCATGTGGATATCACAGATCTTCTCTCAGATAAGTCCATAATCCCAGAGTATGCCCAATGGGTACACGAATATGACAAGCAAACGCATCGCACGCTGTATGGCAGATTCCCCACTGGCCCACCCCCTACTTCCAAAAGTGTCGTTGTCCACTTTCTAAGTCAAGAGAGCATCACTGTTAAAGATGTTATAAACACACTTCAGCTACGTGATATACCTCAATCCTGGAGTGTCATGGTAGCTGTACCTAAGGAGAGGGAATTTAAATACATGGATGCTCGTTTTTACGGCAAGATATGTTTCGAAATGAGGCTGTACCAAACAGTCACTGAAAAGAATATAGCTGACCATATTTTCAGGTATATCAAAAACCAGTCTATGACGATGAGTGAAGAACAATTGATCCGCACCATATTACGAATGAACACACCCGTCCTCCAGCTAAAGGGTGAGACCTATGTTTTTATTGTATTGGACTTTTCCTCTTGGTGCACCAACTTCCGTTTGGAACTCATCACACCTCTTTTCATAGAATTAGACAGGCTCTTTGACCTTCACAATGTTTATTCTTTCAGAAATTCGGGCATAACATGTATTTAGTTTAGCGTTTCGACTGATAAAAGACATCGATAAAACTCGTGCGGGAGCACAGAAAACTCGTATCAGCAATAAACTCGAAATAACCACCTCTCCCTGAGGTAAATCCTGATAAAAGACATCGTCAGAATAAATGCGTGGGAATAGAAAACTCGCGTTAGAATTGCGGATTTCGAAAATTTTCACGTTTCGTATACAAACTAAACTTAAACGCAGTTGTATTTGACAATAAAAAGAATCGTGTTCGAACTTTTGTTTAGAAATTCGGGCATAACATGTATTTAGTTTAGCGTTTCGACTGATAAAAGACATTCATAGAACTCGTGCGGGGGCACAGAAAACTCGTATCAGCAATAAACTCGAAATAACCTCCACCTCCCCCTGAGGTAAATCCTGATAAAAGACATCGTCAGAATAAATACGAGGGAATAGAAAACTCGCGTTAGAATTGCGGATTTCGAAAATTTTCACGTTTCGTATACAAACTAAACTTAAACGCAGTTGTATTTGACAATAAAAAGAATCGTGTTCGAACTTTTGTTTAGAAATTCGGGCATAACATGTATTTAGCGTTTCGATTGATAAAAGACATTCATAGAACTCGTGCGTGGGCACAGAAAACTCGTATCAGCAATAATCTCGAAATAACCTCCACCTATCCCCGAGGTAAATCCTGATAAAAGACATTTATAGAATTCGTGCCGGGGAACAGAAAACTCGCGTTAGAATTGCGGATTTCGAAAATTTTCACTTTTCGTATACAAATTGAACTTGAACGCAGTTGTATTTGACAATAAAAAGAATCGTGTTCGAACTTTTGTTTAAAAATTCGAGCATAAAATGTATTTAGTTTAGCGTTTCGACTGATAAAAGACATCGATAGAACTCGTGCGGGGGCACAGGAAAAACTCGTATCAGCAATAAACTCGAAATAACCTCCACCTCTCCCTGAGGTAAATCCTACCTATGTGTAATATTTGAAATAATGTAAATAAATTCTTCAAAAGAGTCAACCGTACACCTTAAGAACGCCGCACAATCATCCACCGAATGAGACAAAGGGTACGTTCCGTTTCACGCATGATGCGCATGATGCATAAATAGTTTTTATAAATTAACATAAATAGTTTTTATAAATTAACATCGTGATCACTAGTGTATTATTCATTTCTCTTGTTTTCATCGAGGAATTGAGGGCTAACTCAAATCAAAGAGTGCTGTCACCTAACGAGTTATTTATACCGCTTCTGTCGTCTTCAATTTGTTCCTGTAGTACTTCGACAAATGTTTTCGTCTCGTCCAACATTTCCTTGTAGACACGATTTTCCTCCTTCAACTTTTCAATATACTGTGCCAGTTTCTTATTTTCTTCTATGGCATCCACAACCGCCATTCGTCTTCTTTCAGCCACAATTTGCCAGTAGTTTTCGCTAGGCTCGTCTGATGTTAGATCTTCTACTTCAATTTTCGCTTTTTCCTCTCGTGCAGTCTGGACAGCCTTGCTTATCTTAGTCATTTTTGTGTACTTAGCAGTATCCTTCTTAACATTTTCTATTGCGTACTGTTTTGTTTTTGTTTTCGTCTCTTTTGACTTGGCAAATCTAAGAATCCTGTCAGCTCCAACTAAAGTTTCGTTATCGGTGGCTGCTGGTTGCAATATGTGCAAAGGCTTTCGGTCCTTAGTCTTAGGAGCGACTGTTTTGACCGGTTGTTCCATTGTACTGCCTTCGAGAATCAAAGGAAATTCGCAAATGTAAAGTAACGTTAAGAAAGAGACCGACTAAACTGTGGCAAACATGTTCTCCTGTTCATGCACACAATTTTGTCTACCGGCCAATTGTTGAACTCGTTAACATGTATAACACGAGGAGCTGTCTTCGGCACACGAGAACTGCGAAGCACAACCGATAACCGAATCGTTTATCCTTGTTATTCGGCAAATGTTAAAGAAAGAGAAATGATGCATCATGCGTGTCATACGTGAAACGGAACGCGCCCAAAGTTGTAAGAGAATGAAATGAAAAAAGAAATGATACAATTTTGTCGAGAAACGATGACGAAACCGAAAAATAGATTTGATATGATATGCCGACGGTAAGTCAATTAAAATGTTTCGATTTATACAAGGTAAACGTATGTATGTAGAAAGTGTACATTGACAGTACCAGCTCTAGAATACACTAGGTCTTCTGCATGGGCGTATCCAGACTTTTGTCTGGGGGGGGGGGGCAGAACAGGATTCACTCGTAGGTGAATTATGCAGCATAAATTAAACTACGTACTTATAAAAAAAAATTTTTTATTTATATAAAAATTAATTTTCTAGAGTCCTCGGCAAATCTATTAATTATATTATTCGTAATCTCAATGGGGATCTCATTGAGTCTAGGGGGGGGGGCAGCTGCCCCCCTGCCCCCCTCTGGATACGCCCATGGTCTTCTGGGATAGTCTACTTTGTCATGAATACAAAATTTATACAAAGTTTCACGTGACATTGTCATAAATACAAAATTTATACAGAATTTCAAGTATTAGATCGCCAGTGCTTAAATAACAGTAAGGTTTATTAATCCGATACAACTGGCTACAGGAAATTTTTCCTTTATTTAAAAATTCTTATTGCGAAAGATATTACCCCAACCAGGATTTAATTTCAACATTATAAGAAACTACAGTTAATGAAGGTTATATTCTGAAATTTTCGTACCGATCGTACCGAATATTATTCGAGAATGATTATAACAAGATATTTAATGAAAGTTGAAATAACATTTACGAATCAGAACAGTAAATAATTATATGTATAATAGATTTTTGAAGTATTGTATTTTTTCGGTAATGAATGTGTTAATCGTCTTTGATACGTACGCTACCTTACATTATGTTAATCTAAATACAAAAGGCAGTTCCTTTGAAAAGCTATTAAATTTTAAAATATTTAAGGTGAAAGAAATATTGGCTTAATCGAAACAAAGAAATCTTTATCTTTTTCGTTTTAATTAATGAAATGAAGGAATTTGAAAAATAAATAAACATTAGGCAATTTTATTAATAATCGCGCTATCAGAGATTAAACCTTTGAACTTAAACAATTTTATTTTGTTTCTTACAGAAATCCAGAAGCTGCGAAAAACGTATCTTATCGAACCATGAGAAGTTTTCTGTATAGAGAACAGATACGTCACAGACCGGAGATACCACAGACTATTGCCGAACTTGAAGTAGCATTAATGAAGTATCGGCCAACCGAACGCATTTATAAAGGCACAGTATTATCCGAAAATGGCTATAGAGCAGTGCTATTTACAACTGATACCCTACTAGATGCTCTAGCAGCAGCCACAGAAATATTCATGGATGGTGCATTTTCACTAAGTAGCATTCGATATTTAAATGAAAGATAAATCTCTTAGATAATCCAATCCCTTAACCAAGCACAGAACAGCGGATAATATCCAAACTAAATTTAAGCCAACGGCACACGATACTAGTTTTCCTACTGGATTGCTTGCGTGAGCCAATCAGAATTTAGCTTCAAGTCGCCTGATCTAAAACTCTGCATCCTTATTTTGGTTCTCGTAAGTAATCCAGTAGGAAAAATAGTATCGTGTGCCGTTGGCTTTAGACACCAGTTGCAGCATAACTAGTAGCGGCCTCGAATGCTTGCCCTAGTGCGCACTGTGAGTGCATGCTAAGGCTTGTTTACAGTAAATTTTTATACTTAAGGATTGTCCATAGACATAATATATCTAGACCGAGCGTTTGACTTCATTTGAGCTCTGTTTTGTGCCATTTCGTTCTCTCTTGTTCACATGCGAGCGAGAGAGAACGAAATAGCACGAAACAGAGCTTGTCCTTTTCTCCCCAATTTATTTGTGGAGCGAAGTTCGCGCGCAAACCATAATTGGTGAAAACCCATATTCGAAAGAATATCACCAAGCGACAACCACCACACCACACCCAGTAGTGCGACATGAATCAAGGACAGCCTCCAAGATTCTACCGAGGACGCCCTGAGAATCAACGCGATCCTCAAGCTCAAAACATGTTCAACCCTCCAGCTATGCAGAATCAACAACCACCTTTCCTTTTCTACGTGAACCTCTACCTCTCCCACTGCTTAATGCGCGGTCCAGATATATTATGTCTATGGGATTGTTTTGAATATCTCTTGAAACATTTTTCAGCCCAAAATAATCCGTGCTGCATCCGTACGGATCACTTTTCTGGCTAAATATTTTTTTAACGTGTGTTCAAGCAAAGTCAAATATAAGAATTGACTATAAACAAGCCTTAAGTGCGCATTCAGTGCGCACCAGTGCAAGCAACCGAATTCGCTGTATGAAAATCGTGTCCAGACTTTTGCCCAGAGATTCATGCGTGACACTTCTTTCGAGCATACATGTTATGATATTCTTTATTAAAATTTGTATATTGTCCTACGAGTATTCTGAAACGGCCCGCTGTTGGAAAGAAATAGAGAGCTTGCAGAAAATGCGTCGTTACTCTATGCTGCACAACACGCGCGTGAGCACGTGTGCGTAGCAATCGTTAACTTTAGATAAGAACTGAAGATAATGAAAGAATTGTTATCGAGGGATTCGCGTTTTATATTCGAAACATCCAAACGAGGAATGAGATGCGCAAGCATTTGTCCCATACGAATCAACTTGATTTAATCTGAAAAAAAGTTGCATGTACTCCCAGAGTGTGAAACGTATAATATGTTCAGCTTATATTTTCAGGATGCACAGACGTTTAATTATTACGAATCGACTGATCGATACTTTCTCTATCGAGATCCGTGTGTCCTAAGAAATATATCGCAATAAAGCAAATTAATTCGAAACTAATATTATTTCGTAGAGTTCGAATTTGCCGCGGAGAAAACGATTCCCGTTATGCAGCGCAGACAATCGGCGCAGTGATTATTCTCGCGCATTTTCAGCACGACAAATCGAACCGATCGAAATGATATTAATTCCACGTTTTGAAAAAAAATTGTCATGACGATTGCCAACTGCGCGCAGTCGATGATCGTGGGCCTCGCAGAGACAACGAGCGAGAAAACCCCAGGCGTGACACATTCGTTTCTTTTTTTTCTTTACTAAATTTTTCGAGGGCCCGGGCGAGCCGAGAATCGAGGCATTTGAGACCCGTCGAACCCGTCGTTCAATTAATCTAGCGATCGCCTTCGACGCGCGCGACGATCAAGTACGATCGGAAGTGCGTTTCGTTTGCTCGAAACGGTCGCTTTTTTATTTCTCTTTTGAAAAAGGGAAGCGCTCCTCGAAGGGACGTAGTACCATTTGCTCGAGAAACGGCGCCCCCTCGAAAACGATCGGTCGCTCTCCCCTCTCGGGTCGAGGGGAATTCCCGTTTCGGGCGGAGAAACGAGCTATTCGCCGGCGACGCGGTAGGTGCCGACGTCGAGGGCGCCCGAGCGGCTTGGCGCGCCGAGTGACAGCAACGGACTTACCGCCTGCGGCAGAAACATGCGCGTGAAGACAAAGTTATCCTTGGGTCGCTGCGAGGAGCCGTCGTCGTCGCCCTGGTGACGGCGCCGGTGACGATGACGGTAACGTAGACAGCGTTCGTCCAGAGCACTTAGCCACGGAAAAAGCCATCACCGCACGTGCCACAGACCAAGATTTAACGTACTGAGCTGCGGCAGCTTCATGATCCGCTCGAGGCCGCTGGTGGTGATTTTCGTGCAGCCGTAGAGGTCGATGCACTTGAGATTCTTCATGCTCTCGGCGACGGTGTGCAGGCCCCGGTCGGTGAGCCGGCTGCACTGGCCGATGTTGAGGGTCTCGAGGTCGTGCAGGGTCTTGGCGATCTTGCAGATGCCCTCGTCGCTGATCTGGCAGGCGGACAGCGAGAGGGACTTGAGGTTGAACAGGCCCTGGGAGATGTGCACGAGCGCCTGGTCGCCGATCTTGTCGCAGAACGACACGTCGAGCGAGGTGATGCGGCTGCCGCCCTCGGCCAGGTACGCCATGCCGATGTCGGAGATGTTGTCGCACGAGCGCAGGTTGAGCTCGCGCAGACTCGACATCCTGGCCAGGTGCTTGACGCCGGAGTCGGTGATGCATACGCAGAACGACAGGTTGATGGACTTGAGGGTGGTGAGGCCGAGGGACACGTGCCTGAGCGCCTCGTCGCTCAGCCGCTGGCAGTCCTGCAGGCTCAGGTGCTCCAGGGCGAGATTGCCGTCCGCGGTCTCGCGATTCAGGCCGGCCAGGTGGGCGATGCCCATGTCGGACACGTGCCAGCAGCTCCGCAGGTCCAGCCGCTTCAGCTTCTTGAGGCCCCACGCGATCAGCAGCAGGCCGGTGTTGGTGATGTTGCAGCAGCCGCCCAGCTCGAGGTGCTCGAGATTCTTCAAGTACTGCGCTATCCTGCTGAGCGAGGCGTCCGTCACCTGCTTGCAGAGCGACAGGTTCAGCTCGGTGAGGGACGGGTACTCCTGGTAGAAGGCGTTCGTGATACCGATGTCGGTGATGTTGTAGCAGCCGGACAGATTGAGCGCCTCGAGATTTGGCACGCCCTTGAGGACGTCGCTGAGGCCGCGGCGCAGTGACAGCACCTGCACCTTCTTCACGCCACGTCGTACCAGACTGGCGAACAACGCCGGCGCCTGTTTCCTCAGGTGCAGCCGCGCCTCCACCCCTCGCCAGACCGAGCGGTAATACGCGGCGTCGCGCCACGCGGTGCACACCTGCGCGGCGCGTCCCTTGTCGCGCACGTCCAGGTAGCTGAAGATGAGGGCCAGGATCTCCGGGTACAGCGAGGACACGTGGGTGCTCGCGGCGGGCGGGCCGTGCG